AAAAAAAAATTAAAATTCTTGATTTCACAAAAGATGAGGAGAAAGAGCTCAGGGATGGAGTAGCAGCCCCTGGTTTTCTCTCTCATCTCTTCCTGCAAGAATGGCTCCAGCATTCCAGGAGACGTAAAACACAGCAGCTGGATATTAATGGAACTTGGCATCACAGTGATTTTGGGCTTTTTTTAATTAACGCTGTACCGTATTACAACAAGGAAACATTTTCTCCTCTTTTATTAACATCCCAACCCCGAGCCAAGTATTAAATAAGACTTAATTTAATTAGTTCTTGCATTCTCCCCTCTTGCAGGATTATTCAGTAACACAAAGTCCTTACCGAGCTCCCTTTCCTGCAGTCAGATAAAAATCCTGCTGATGGCGGTGGGAATGTTCAGGCTCCTCATTTACATGCACACTGTGCTGCCACGAGACAAGAGACGTTTCCACCCCAGCTCACCTTGGCTCTGCCATGCTCTCCATGGCAGCTGTTCCCCACGATCCTCTCACCCCCAGGTCTCTCCTGGGACACCCAAACCTGCAGCCAAGAGCTCAGGGTTCACAGAGCAGTGAGCACTGCTGGCACCATTCCCCTCCCTTCTCTCACCTTTTGACACCAGACAGGTGAGCTGGTTGTCCTTACCTTTGCACTGCAGGGAGAGGGGAGGCGGGGCTCCATCCTCCACCACTCTGAAGGCGGTGGACCCAGTGTGGGATGGGGCAATTAGCCTTTCAGACAGCTATGGGCATGCATCCTGCTCCTGTCCCATCCTGTATGGTGGCACAGTGAGATAGGTGGCCCCACCGCAGGTGTCGCCATGGCTATTTGTGAGGTGGCCATGGCGGCCGTAGCAAATGGAGTTAGAGCAGGTTGGTGGCAGGCTCCACGCTAGGACCAGTTCTCTGCAAGGTTTTCATTGATGGCTTAGAGACGGGATGTGAACACACATTAAGTTTGCTGACAACACTCCATTGGGAGGAGCTTATAGTTTCCAGGAGGGCAGGGAGGCCTTTTGGGGAGATCATAAGGAATCAAAGGGCAGGGCCACCACCAGCTGCATGAGGTTTAATGAGAGCAAGCGCTGGATTCTGCACCTGCGAAGGGGCAACCCTGGCTGTATGGACAGATGAGGAAATGAGAGGCTTCCCTGCAGAAAGGGTTCTGGCAGGCTGCACGTTCAATCTGAGCCAGCAGTGTGCCTGGAACCCAAAGGGTCAACTGTACCCTGGGGGACACCAGGCCCAGAGCTGCCAACAGGTACAGGGAAGGACTGTCCACTGTGCTCTGTGCTGTGCAGCCCCACCTCCAGCACGGGGTGAGGGTTGGGTGCCACAGTGTCAGAAGGACATAAGCTCCAGCTGCTTTCTGAGAAGCAGCAAAGCCATTATTCCCAATCCACGCAGATGTGACACACGGCTTCTCCTTGCCAAGAGAGGGGATGGGGGAAAGAACTTTGCTCCTGTCTTTATTGAATCCAATCTCATTTGTGTTGGATTAAAATCACCTCACTGTCTGAGAAAAGCCAAATCTGAATCTTCCTGTCACAGCACTCACAGCTGCTGCAGGGCACACATGTCCTTCCCATCACTGGAGCCCGGAGAAGTGCTGGGGACAGGCCAGGCTCGAGAAGCTGTCACCATTTTTGCTTTGTAGGGGCACCTTAACTTGTGGAGGCAGCAGTAAATGACCTGCAGAAGGCAGCAAGCAAGAGGGAAGGAGGAGGAGGGGACATGGGCGAAGATGTAGGTGGTGCCACATCTCACGCTTCTGCTGGAGCCGGGAAGGGATGTGGAGCGCCCGCTTCCCAGTCCTACGCACTCACTGGGACCATCTGTCCTCCCCCGGGAAGCAGCTCCGGGTCGGGAGAGAGGTCCTGCGGGGGGGCGGGCAGGCTGTGCTGGAGAGCAAGAGCCTTCCTGTGCTCTGCTGAATGGATTTCAGCAGCCTGCAAGGAGCAGGTTTCACAGCTGTTTAGGAAATAGGGACCTTAACACGAAGAAGTGGATGGCTGTGCCCAAATTCAAGTGAGGGCTCGATGAGCAAAGCATCTCTCAGGTGCCCAGAAGCGCCTCAACTGCTCGGCCAGCCACAGCAAGCAGCAATCCAACCAGCTGCCCTGTGCCGTGGGAGTGCAAACTTCAGACATGGTGTAGGGCCTGCAGTGTAAGCCGGCCTTCTGCATGCCCACGTTTCTGCCTGCGAGCTGTGGGTGCCAGGTGGACCCATACACGCCTGGTCTGCTTTCCATGCCATGCACCCAGGGCTCCTCGTTGGAGGAGGTTTCTGCCCGTGCATCAGCACGGAGAACAAAGCAAAGGCTGTTTCGCCGCAGGATTTAACCACCTGTTGTAATAGTTGTGTTGATCTAATCTTTTTGGTTTAATTAAAAGCCTCTCACTCAGGTTGCAGGGCTTTTTCCCTCTGCACAGGCTCACCACCTGTTTCACAGGCTCCACTATCTCTGCCACGGAGGTGAGGACAGAGCTCTCCGAGTTCCCCAGACACACGCAAATGGCTGGAAAGCATTCAACGCAGGGCTGAGTGCCTACAGAAGAGCCAAAGCCTGGTTGTGCCGGCAGAGCTGTGGCAGGCACTGCTGCTCCCACGGAGCACCGAGCGGGCTCGCTCCCAAGCTCCTTGTGAAGCACTGCGTTTGTGAGCAGCAGCAGGAAGGGCCATCTCGCCCAGGCTCCCGTGGGCGTTTCACACGGCCCCGTTTAAGCAGTCAAACCAATTTGCAAAGCACAAGCTCCCAATGGCAGGTGATGAGTCATTACAGGGTTTCAGAATGCGTAAATGAGCTCACAGTGTGCTCGCTGTGCCACCGCCGGCTCGCCTGGTGCTCACCGGGCTGTGAGGCCACACAGGAGCCTCGGAAATCCCTGCCCGCCCCGCTGACGAAAAACACAGTTGCGTTTCTGCTGCGGCACGTGAAGAGTTAAATGGGTTTCTTCCCATGCTGGGTTTCACCAGGCACTTCTGTGCAGCTGTACAACCCAGCGCCGCTACATTTCACACCGCCCGTTGGCGAGCAAATAATAAGCAAGCATGTGATTTTTGGCCACGCTGGCTTTTCCAAGGTGATTAAATAATTTTCTAAATAGCTCTGAGAATGAAGCTGTCTGAAATCCCCGGGGCATTAAGAAATTAACTGCGTACGCACACACTGAAACAACGCAGTCGGGATTCAAATTTACCAAGCAGCAACATAACATAGTTAAGAGAGCAAACACCACTGACGAAAGCTGTTGCTGTCTGGACACACAGGAGGAGGCCTGCAGGATGCAGGTGGAGCAGCCCTTCCTGCTGCTATCTCTGGGACCTGGAGACCCCCACTGCCTGTCTGCAGGGCCAGGCGAGGCCAGAGCAGAGCCACCGGGCGCTGGGAGCCATCCCTCCCCATCAGCTCAAGGCAATGTGTGCTTCATGTTCTGCTCCTTCTCTGCCCACAGAGTTCTTGCTCGTGGTGGTGCGTAGGTGTATGTGAGGGATTTATCCTTTCCCCACTGAATCACGGCAGCACAACATCTTTTCAACCCTTCTGTACAAGCAAAAAAGAGCCCTGCGTTATTTCTCCTCGGTTGCTAGCTGAAGGAGGCACCCAGCAGCCCCCCGACAATGGGCTGCACCCAGCTGGGTGCCAGCACGCACCGCCTCGCCCCACAGCCCCCCACGGAGGCAGGGACACCCCTGAGCAGACCTTCCTGCACCACGGCCGACCCTCAGCTTTGTGCACGCACCCAGTCCGAATTTCGAAAAGAAAACCAATTCTGCAGCTGTTGCTATGGGCAAAGCCATTGTCATCAGTGGCTGCTTTCCCTTCAGACCCTCGTATAAACTGCTTCTTTAGAAAAGGAAGCAAGGCCTTTAGCAATGACACGGTGAGCTTTTTGGCTGCGTGAGGAACAGGCACATCCTGAAGTGAAGCCCTGCTGTGTGAGAGCTGCTCAGCCTGACAGCTTCTAGCCACGGGCCAGAAGGTGCTGAGCTTCACGGACACCCAGCAAGATGCTGAATCCAGTGGGGCTGGCCCGAGCTGACACAGGATGCTCATCCCATGTATCCAGAGTTCTTGAGCTTCAGCCATCCATCTGCCCAGAACAAGTAAAATAATAATAATCTAAGTGTTTTTGTAGTGATGTTTATGTGCAGTCTGGCATATTACCAGTAACTGCCTTGAGGCACGTTCTGTCCCACAGTGGCACACTTCAGAAAATAGCGCATAGCTCATTGCTTCTTCCATGCCTTCTTCTAGCATAGGGCATCATACTCCAAGTGCAGAAAAAAAAAAAAAAGACGACAAATGTTGAACTAGTTGCTCAGATTTCCCACACTGAGTTCTTGCTTGGGTGAGGAGAAGGTATGAGGATTGAACCCACAGGCTGAGTGCTTCTCTGTGCTTCAGACTTGCACGCCTCCTCTGCAATTTGGATGGTTTGTTTCCTCCTTTCTCTTTGCACTTCTGCTCCCCGGTACGTTTCTCTTCCCTTTTTCTACCCCATTTCCCACACAATTTCTGCTCTCCAACTCTACTGCTTCATTCTATCAAGACGTGGGATGCTGTTTAGAAACTGAGCTGAACCAGGAGAGCACCACAACTGCTGGAGTCAGCCATAGGACTGGGCAGTGCCGTTTTGTCTCCTGACTTCCAAAAGACAGCCCGGTACTGCCTCTTATCATCTCCTCACAGCTCTGCTTCGGTCACATCTTCGAGCAAACATCAGGACATCAGTGAGCGAGGGAGCGGTGTAACACAGGCCTGCCAGGCTGCAGCCCCTTGCTGGATTTCATTTCTTCCTTTTTGCCTTGGCCCACCACACCTAGCAAGTCCACCCGCCCATAGCAGCAGATTCAACCATAGGAGCAGGAAAAGCCTTCGGCCAGCAAGCTGCAGTTCAAAATACTCCCTCTTCTCCTATTCCAAGACAATTACCTCCCAGTAGAGAATACAATGGGGAAAAAAGAAATGAAAAAAAAAAAAAAAAACAACCCTGGGGAAACAGAAGAGTTCTCACGGTGAATTTTATTTTGTAGCAACAATATAAACATGTGAATAAGAACAGGCATCATTTGCAGGGCTGGCCTCTGATCCAGAGTACCGTGAATCCAGCAACCTGCCCAAAGCAGATGCGGGTGAACCTTCCCCCTGACTCCATTGAATAGCCAAGTTGCAGTCCACCAAGACCTTTGTCATGGAAAGGCCAATGCTTGAATATCTGCTATTACCATACTTATGTGCAATCATGGAATGTATTAAACCCCCCACCCTCCCCACATCCACTCTCAGGGTTTAAAAAACAAAAACAAAAAGGGTAGAGCTGCAAACCAGTAAAAAAATTGCTTCCAGCTTGCTGAGACTGAAATGGCCTGTTGGACTTCTAAACTGAAATATCGTTCTAGAGATAACCAAGGGGTTGTGACACAGAGTACTGTATTTACAACTCAAAAATATAACTGTTATGTACTTTAATTTATAGCAAATTTAATACATTAGTGTTTACAAAATAAGTTCTGGACTCAACTGAAAAAGCGTGCTGCTTAGCAAGTTCTTTCTCCTTCCTCTCACTCCAACTGAAAAGACCAGCAAGCTTAAGAGCTTCTTCTGTGATCCACGCACAACAACAGTTGAGATGTTGAAAAAAGAGCATTTCCTGAATGTCTCGAGGCTTGCTGCTCTATTACTCAAGCTGTATAGTTCAAACCTTAAGCTGTCCTTTAGCAAGTTCCATATATTCTTATGAAAACTACTCAGCTACTAACCAGTGCACTGGCTAACATTACAAGCCAAAGAATTATCCATACTACTAGCTCACACAACAGGAAAGAGGAAATATAACTACACATTCAATCTCTTATTTCTAACAGCAAAGCTGCAAACTCCATCACTTGAAGTAAGATACTTCAGGAAGTGAAACAGTACCAAACAGTTCAAGAAACAATTAAAAAAAAAAACCAAACATTTTAATAGTATAAAAAGTTGTTTACCGGTGTTTCTACTATAAAGCTTTGTTCCACAAATCAAAAGTGATAAAATAATTAGGTATGTTTACAGTGATAAGAGACTGCAGTGTAGACATTTCAGCTCACATTTCGCTGAGCACTTGGGTACGATGGACTGTGACTGAATTAATACACAGCTACGACACAGAGCAAACTGCAGACATGAAATACACACCTGAACATGGAAATCTACCCACTGCACGGTAACTTATGTCCTTTAACCTTCCTTCACTCCTCCAGAAAACGCTGTAGGAAAAAACTGCATTCAGAAACTAAGGCATGTAACTATTCTGACTGCAGGAAAGCAATCCTTAACGCGGGAGGTGCACAGGGGAAAGATGGATGCACACAAACGCAGCATGGGAAATTCCAACGCTTTAAGCCCATTATTTTTCCTTAGATAAAATGACATCTGCAAAAGTGAAAATGTACAAAAAATAAAAACTGTCAAATAAATAAAGAATACGGATGTTAATCAAACACATACATAAAGAAAACGTATTGGCATACTGTATGCAGTATACGGTATATTCATAGAATCACGTGGGCTGGACAGCACTTGATAAGGAGTCACATTCTGAAGATGTAATCCCTCATCTTTCTCCTCCTCCAAAAAATCTTATGGTTTCTGGATATCAGGTGCAACTTCAGTAACTGTACTGAAATTGATTGATAAACTGAAGGTATATCCAACGGTTACATTTTCACATCAAATTGGGAACCACTAATATGGACTCTTCCATATTTCAATTGGCATTTTCTACACTCCTGACCTGTAGATAGGTAGTCTACTGTAAATGCATTATACAAAGGCTGCTGAAACCAGTAAAAGTGATGTAACAATAGTAAGTGTCAAGAACATCTGCTATGATACAGAACTGGGCTCTAGGTCTACCAGATGCTATACCCACATAACGTTTTAAACCAGAAGATATTTTTTCCATCTCCCTTTTTTCCTACAAACAGTGTTGCAAACTTGCTGCTTACTGTGTCACGATGTTCACATTCCTACTTCTCCAAGGATCTGTAATTCTAATGTTTAACAATCAGGTCTATGCTAGGTACACTTAAAGTAGACACTGAAATTTCAAGTAAAATGAACTGTAGCCACATCTACTAGACTCTATACACGTCCCAACATCTAGATTTACTTTGATAAGTTATACAAATACATAATACATTCTTAAATAATGTAGACCCACAATATTAATTTGTGAATCTTTCCACGTTATAAAACCACTTTAACAGGAATGTTTATCCACCTGTATTACTGTTTAGTTTGCAGTGTCTTTTGCTTTTCTGTTTCCACAGATTACTGGACCAGTTCTTATGCTTTGGCTATTGAAATCTCTTATTTGAATGAGGCAACACTGGTTATTAAGGCTGTTTTTTCTTCTCTCGTGAAGTTTCATTCCTTATTATGACACTGGTTTCCAGAACAGGATGACTATCTTGTGTCCTCAGGTTCTGTTTTGATGACCTTCCTTTCTATGTTATTAAAAGCTGAGTGAGGAAAATCCTTTAGGATACCAAGGCCTTCTGTGTTTAAAGAAAAGAAAGAAAAAGAGATGTTAAAAACACTGCTTGGAAACAAGTATATTCTGTTCTTCAAGAAAAAAAAAAAAAACAGTCCACAAACTGTATGTAAGTTGAATAAATGAATAAATTCTTGCCCTTCCTACTGGGCTTTAACCTAGCTGGGTTATAACCTCATTTACATTGCAGTGATGACAAAGTCATCCCCACAGATCTAATTCCATTCTCTCTAGGAGCAGGACTTAGTGGAGATGTACGCTACACCAGAAATTTGAAAGGCAAATTTCACCTGGTGATTGAGACAGTCGAATTGCAAAAATAAATAAATAAATAAAAAGAACTGAGCTTTCAGCACACCAAAATGAGATATGCAAGATTCTTCTTCTCTTTCAATAACCTCTTTCCCACTGTACTTGCCAAACTTAGATGGGATTTTATTATTGTTCCTAAAGCTGTAAGAATCTCAAGAATCCCTGGCTTTATCTTAGGAGCCAACTGTGAAACTGAAACCACCCATGCACGAAGGATTCTTGCTGTCTTGTGTGAAACTTAAGAGTTTCTCCCACAGCCAAAGGGAAACAACAAGATAAACTTGAGTAGAAGTCATTGAATGGGACACACTTCAAAGCACACGCTGCACAACACAGAGTACAGAAAGAGCGTCAGGTCAGAAAGTCTTCTTATGAAAACTACATTTACAGTTTGATTTCTTTATACAGACTGAAGCCATATTACAATCAATGAGAGATTGCAAGCTAAGTATTTAACAGCAGAACTTTGGGTCAATACCTCTCTGAGGACAGACACATGCCAGAACTTGTTTGTCTTAATCCAGCAACTGCACCTTCTAAGTTTATCCCAAATAATAGGAAATCTGTTTCTAGATTAAGTAGTAACACCACTCCTGAAGCTCTGTCTGAAGCCTTGGTTAAAAGGTTACATGCAAGGAGTTGCACACTGAGCTGCCTTCTTCATTCAAGAGACAGCTCGCATTGAGTGGTTAATCAAAGGTTCTCTAAGAAATAGTGGTTAATTTACAAGGGACAGCACTAACCTGAGGACTGGGACTTTGCCTCACCACCAGGGTAAAGCCGGATCAATTCACTGCACAGAGGTTTTCCAACGTGCTGCTCTCCATCAAGTGAAATGTGCTGCAACTGTCTACTGGGAAGATTCGACATCCGGAGATTCAGCGGTCTTTCACCTGGAAGCAGTTCACAGTGACATATGGATGCATTAAAAAGAAAGCAGTAATAAAAAACAAAAATCAAAAGAGACTAATTTTGTCAGGAATCCTAAATTTTGGCTGTTGGGAAGCTTTCTAACAGAATAACTGTTATGTGAATATGCTGGTATGTAGACTACTCCACAGGCAGCGGATACTTCTATATCCATGCAATTCTCTCTTATTCTGCCCCAAAAGCCCACTGAGATCCCATAAATTCCCAGTGCCACTGTGCAATGAATAAATGGTAAAAAGCAACGCACAACATCAAGAAGAGCTGGTTGCACACACCAACACTTTCTGTATACTTGTATACCGCGCTGCTTGACCGACATACACAAATGGAAATAGATGTTCTAATGCTTACTTGCTTTCATTCCCTTAGTTTCTCCCTCTACTGCTTCTCTTTTTTGTTAAAAATCTAGCTTTTTAAAAAAACAAACAAATAAAAAATCATCTGCTTGCATTTCTTGTCCATGCTTAACATTTTCTCCCATTTCACAACACCCAAACAGAAATCTAAACAGAAACCAGTCAAACAAACTAAACATTCCTAAGATTAATGCAAGCTGGCAAATAGCCAGTTGGTAAATCAAATAGATCACCACGAAACTATAAGCTTTTTGAAGAACAAGCTACTACAAACATTATAAGAATCTGCTTGCTTCTAAGGAATTTACATAGTAATTTACATAGCCAGCTACTCAAGTTTTGTTCTTAGACTGCACAGATAGGTTAAAAAAACTGGGGAGGGGAGGGGGAAATGGGTAGCACCAACTCCATTATCAGCTTTACCTTCAATTTCCACAAAGGAAGAGAACAAATGAACAGCCCGAACACGCTGCTCTATTTTCAAAGCTTAGGATAAAACTAGAGACAAGCAGTGCCCTCACTAACAGTAATTCTCCCTACCTTCTTCCCTCCCTGAACGTTACCTGTAGGGAAAGCAGTCTGCCCAGCTGCATGACAGTAACAGAGCAGAATCTGGCTGTACACCTGATTGTGTTATTTAGACTGTAAGCACCTTAGGGCAGAGATCTTGTCTTGTCCATTCAGTGCTCAGTGTTCTGTTTGTGCTATACTAGGTAAATAACACCACTGACAAAGATTGCATAAGTTCAGATGCATTTGCTGACAGAGACACCGTGCCTGGAAGCTACTATACCTTGTCCATCAACATTATCTAATGACATGCCATTGGGGCTGTGCTCTTCTGAGTTCTGCCTGTAACACCCTGTGGAAAGACGTCTCTCTAATCCGGCCTGGTTGCAGAGAAACTCCATCTGTTTTGCCATCACCTTTTCAGACTGCAAATAAAGCATACATACATCTTTTGAGTCAAAACATGGAAAAAACAATATCAGATGATAAGACTAGCAGCCTAGATGTAGATTTTTATTGACTCATATGTACAGATGTGTGCTTTACAGTTTCTTCAAGTCTATCAAGTAAACAAAGTATTTTTGCACCCATAAAAATTTTCATACTGTACAACTGAGTCACTCAGGAATGCTTCAAATCCGAGTTGCAGTAGTTCATCCATGCAAAAATGCAATGCTAAATTCTGTTCTTAGAAAACACATTGAAAACTGCGCTTTAGGGCTGTGAGTTACGTGAAGAGAATCTCAAGAGAAGTGAAAAATAATGTCTTAGCTCTGCTCAAATACATGTATTCACAAAGTATTCCAAGAGCGATGGCAACATCTGCTAAAAACTTATGCCAAGATTTCACCAGACATCTTGGAATCTTTATTTTAGGAAACAGCACTATACAAGCATAAAAATCTGCCATTCTGAAAGTGTAGGATGACAGTATGTTTGTGGGGGATAAAGGTGCGAAATGTCTGTCTAGAAGAAGAACAAGACCTATACACCTCTCGAGAGTGAAATTAAACAATGCAGCGCAACGTGGGAGGAAATGGCGTCTGAATGTTTGTCATTGAATCCAACGCCAAGAAAATTCTAGCTTCCAATTTAATCCTGTTCTTAAGAATGTAAATAAGCATTTTGCAGGGAAAAAAAAAAAAGAAAAAATCACAAGTCAATAATGTTTGTTTAGAAGAGTCATCATGAACATGAGAACACTAAGCATATCAAATTAACCCCAAGGATCAACAGTAGAAATTTCATTTCTATTCCAGGTTAACCTCTCCTACTGTTTCAACTCGTACAGATGCCGACTAAAATAAAGTGATGTCATCTTTCAGAGTGCCCAGCTTTTCCTGGTAGATGACCAAAGTCGTGCCTTCCCACAGCAATTTGCTTCTTCTGCCTAGTTCAGCACTTAGATGTGGTGACAACCTAACTGACCAGAAAAAAGCAGAGCTTCTCCAGCATAGCCATGGCCCTGACAGGAGGGTAACAACACAAGTGATAACTTACTCTGCTTAGAGGTCATCAGGTTCTGCAGAAGAACGCTGACAGCTCAAGCTTGGTCTTGGGAAGTAGGTTAAAAAAGAAACGATTTTCAAATGGTTTACTTCCAGCTGTGCTTTAGTTTTGCTACTCTGTCAGTCCTGTTACTACTTTCAAACTGAAAAGCTATTTTTAAAAGAGTACAATATTTGACTTCTGTAATCTTTGTTGTTTAATTGAGATAGAAAGAACAGAACTGCAGTAACTGTTGTGATCACCACAGAATATCACAGAAGCTGAAGGTCCTTCTGAGCTTAGAACAAATCTCAATTCCACTGTTGCGCAGCAGTGACCAGTGACCAAAAGCACATAAAACCAAGCCTGTTTAATCATTATGTGACATCAGAAATGCAGCACCGTTGCTTTTTGATGCAGAAAAATGAACAGAATTTTCATGATTGGACACTGCTTTGCAATAGAAGAATGCAGGAGCCAGGGCAACATACCTAGTCTCAGAAAACAGAAACGTTGATCCCAAACAAACTCTTACATGAAAATTCCATGATTACATTTGCCTTCAAGGCTGGGATACACTACAGAAAAGACAAAGAACTGGAAACCTGTCTTCATCTATTAAATGCCTTCTGAAACATGAAAATGCTGGACTCGTACCAAGCTCGATGTTATTGAGAAAGGCAATGTATTCTTTTAGATCCAGAGATTCTCTATTTCCTAATTCTAGTGGACTTTCCTCTTAAAAAGAAATGTCAGAACCAAGGACTCCAAGATCTCCTACTCTATTTATTCTCTAAATTCAACAAGTTTCCATTTATAGCTAATAATTGAAGTACACAGCAAAAACTGTACCAATAGTACCCTATTTGTTCCAGCAGGCCCTCTCATATCCTCAAGCCCTCTAAGCTACATTTTGCCTTTTCAGAGCAAACAAGGTTAAAAGGTGGAACACTGTCAGAAGAGTCTCAGAAGCTAATTACAAATTAAGAGTGACACAGTCACAGACACGCTAGGTAGCCTTTGAAAATTGAAGCTAATTCCTTTAGTCATCGAACCAATACATCAAAATCAATGCACAGAGACTTGGCCTACATCATTCACGGTGTAGTGCAGTTGGTTTACCTGGGAATTAAGAGCTGCCGAATCCTCACTCTTTCCCTTAGCCAAAGCAAGTGGCATTTTGTCTGGCTGATAAAGCGTTTGGACTGCGTCCTGGAAGTCAGGGTAACCATCCTATTGAGCATAAGAAGAAACCAAACACCAAGAGAAAGACATGATTAATTTGTTCCGCACCCCAACTCTCTGCATATTCAAAAGAACACCGCAACCCAATGCAAACTGATCACTCTGGAGTTCAGATGCCTGTGCTAACCACAACATTTAAGTTTGTGTCTAAAATGCACAGTCTCTCTACAGTACCCACTATACATCTAACATCCCATATGCAGACAATCATATTTCTCACAGTTTCAGGTGAATTTAGACTATTGTTGTCACTGACATAAACTAGCTTTGCCAGGTAGATTCAGGCTCATCATTTCTGTTGCTCTTTACATACAGCAGCTTTGGAGATTAAGAAATCAAACATACATGTAAGTCAAAGATCAAGGCACAGCAGATGGCTATACTAAACCTTGAGAAACTGAGTGAAACCTCCTAAAACTCAACGTACTGCACACAGAAACCATACTAGTGTAACCAAATGAAACACACTGCAAAGATTTTAGGTACTCTGGGAAACCAGGATTCAAGAATTCTTTCAGCCTGAAATGGTTATGACATGCAAATCTCTCTTGCAGCTTGCATATGTACAAATAAAGCAAATAAAGTTTGTGTGAAAGCCTGCCAGACTTCATTACAATACATAAATAATCTGAGCAATGGTTCAAGATGAAAAACTTATCCTGCTTGGCACTGAAGATCATGTAAAGCAGAGGAACATCCATAAACATCTACAAAGGCAGAGTATAGGTGACTGCTAAGATCTGAAAAAATACTAGAGAACTTAAAATAGACTCAAACGTGAAAACAGTCACATTTGTAACTGAGTATTCAAGTACCAAAAGCATTACAATTATCGTAACTTTCATTTTGGCTTTTGGAGGCCAAGTGTATGCAAACAAAAACAATTTTGACAATAGCCAAACAAATAAATTGCCATCCAAGAAAGCTTAACTGAGGCCTTCCAGAAAAATCACAGGAAAGACTACAAGGTCTGTGCAAACTGGGGGCTGCACACCGACCTGAACAGCTGTGGCCAAAACCCTGAGTGCAGCATAATGCCAATAAATTATTCCTTATGCTTCAGGAGAAAAAAAAATAACGTGTGAATCATTGCATAAGGCTTTTATCCACCCAACATATTCCCTTGGGGAAAAATAAACACGATAAGTATGTAAAATTTCATAACCAGGTAAACTGCCACAAAGCCTCATCCTCTAGAAACAAAGACTTCGCAGTGCATTTCCATGAGCGCTGACCATTTTCATACAGTTAGACCTGAATTTGTTTGGGAAAAATCACTGTGTGTAGGAAGATGAAAAGCAAATACACAAAAACGTATCGCCGAGGATCCTATTTTAGTAACCAATCAGGAACACAGCTCTTTACAATGTATGTGTGATCACAAGCAATATAATAGCAAAGGCTGTTTCCTACAAGCAGGCCTCCCCGCATGCTGCTGTGACCGTCACCCATCACTCCGCCTATGAGTCTTTGATGGCAGTGTAAGAGTGGAGCAGCACCATGGAGGCCTTCCCTGCTGCTGGCTGCTCCCACTCGCAGTGCGGTGAGGCCAAGACCTGCTTTGCACCACGTCTGCCTCGCCGTTCCTTTCCCTCCTCACGCAAGAGGAGCCTGCTTCGTGCAGCACAGCATTTCTGTTCTGCTGCGCCGCTGCTCAGTTGTTTTTCAAGAGGCTTCTTGCAGCAGATGTTCCCAGTCCCACATGTGCTTTTTGCTCCCTCTAATGACATTTTTCCTATGCAAACAGTAGACTCTACTGCTTCTGCCATTTTCGAGAAAAACAGCGAAATCCCACACTTACACTGATTTGCTTTTCAACTGTCTCAGCAACGACGGAGGTGGGCCTTTTCTCTCTCTCCCTCTCCCTTCATCCATACTGGCACCAGGGGAAGACATTTCCTCACAGCCTCCACTTCTCCCTTCCTTCCTGCGTCCCCCACAGAGCACAGTGAAATCAGCTTTTGCAAGCCTTCCCAACCCCTCTCCTTCAGCTGAACGGAAACGCTGGCACAGAACAGTTCCTTTCTGCCACGAACCCAGGGACAAAAAGGCCACGTTTGGTTCTGTTTCTCTCCTCTCTTAGCTGTCGGCGGTGTATGTGAGAGCAGAACCCCATCAATGCCAACAAAGAGCGGCACGATGCTGAGCAGCCCCTCCCTCTGAGCCCACTGCGTGACACACCTGTGACTTATTCTGCCTTCTAAGTGCTGCCCCAACAGCTCATCACTTTGAGTGCTGTTGGTACTGAGTCACAGAAGATGACAAAACAAGGGGTGCCCCTGCCCCACAACACCTGTGTGGAAGACATACAAGAGGTAGCGCCGCTTCCACCCCCAGGAATCTATTCTGCCTTCTCTCCAGAGCAGACTTAGGAAACGCAACTCCTTTTTATTTTTCTCTTGTAATAAAAACTGGTTCCAAAGCCCAATTCATTCCACTCCTTTTTTCACTCCCTCTGCACCTTTAGTCTCTCATTTGCCTGGAATTTTTTCCCCCCCCTTCTCCTCTGTATACTTCACTCCCACAGCTTGCCCACCCACTCTGTGAATAAGAGGGGGAGAGCACACAGGGGAAGAGAAAGGCTTTTACAGGTAATTTGATGTAATTCACGGCATATTGTTTCTTTGTAATGCTTATGTGAGTTTCATATTCATAAAGAGGATAAATGTACATTGGCGGCTGTAACCCAGCAATGTTTAAGCTTGCACACACAGTTCTGCTGGCACAAGTGTGACCTTCAGAGGTTTTTTGTTGTTGTTGTTTTTTGGGTTTTTTTTGCATGTTATTATATTTCAGGAAACTAACTCATCTTCACTAAGTGATCTATCACAGTATGGAAAAAAGGGCGTGCATTCAGGCTGGTATTTTAGATTATGCTTTCCAGAGGCAGTAGTGACTAACGGGCAACGGAATGGTGAATCAGAAGGGCAGCCTTAAAACAGAAGCACAGAATGACCTTCACAAAAAAAAGGAAAAGAAAGAGAAGCCAGAGCTAGCGGTAACAAGTCACCTACATTCTGTTCCACTGCACCCAAATATTAGCATGACAGCTAGCTAACTGAGCCACAATCCTATTACACCTTCAGAAACAGGATGAAGATTATTTATCCAGAAAGGAAGAAACAGATTCACAGCACTTACTGCCACTCTCATTTTACTGAAAATGTTATGATCTCTTTTCCAAAATGTAACCCCTAAGAGCCCAAGGTATCAGATCATTCAGATCTGATCAGGAGGAGTGACCTCCTGAGTAATATTGCCTCTTTCCTCCCCCCAGCACCTTTAAAAAAAAACTACCTAGTTTGCAACGTACCTGAGAATCGTAACAAACCACAGTAACAATTGACTTTAGGGAGCCAGAAGACTCCCATTGTACAGAAAGAGGCATTTATGTTGATAATGACAGCTGGCATTTCATAGTTAATAATGCTATCTTGTTATATGAAAGTTAATTTCATTTAGCTTAATTTTCTATTTCTTATTTTGGAGACAGTCTTATTTCTAAAGCAGTGATTTGCACAACTAAAACACAAAATTTGCATATGCATTTTAAAATATGACTGTCAATTTTAGATAAAAACAAAACCAAGTAAACATCCATTCTCAGAATTACTGAACTAAATAGTGCCTTGAGAAAGCAGAGCTTCCAGACCCATCATTCAAAAACTAAGAGAATGCAGATTCCCTAGGGTTGTCCTAGTCCTTGTTCTTCCCAGGTTTTTCACTGCTTTTTGATTTTACTTTTTCTTTCAATGAAGATCCTACAGAAAAAAAGCACCTCCCTTAGCGTGTCAACTTCACTTACTTGCTCATCATCAATTATCACTGAATGAAGGAAAAGCTTTCTAATGCTGAAATCTAATCGTCTGTGAAATACTATTTCAAGCAAAGGAGGAGCAGCTCCCCACCAGCTCTTATCAATTAAGGCTAGGCTGGACAAAAGGGAAGGGAGAACCAAACAACCATTTTGCAACGAATCAGTCAAGGCTGGCAATAGAGTGAAGGCACATAAAATCATTTAATAAAGCTTCTACCAGCTCTTTCCTATAGACTGAAGAGCAGGCAGAGGTCAGTACCCACCTCAACACATCTAAATGGTGTTACAGAATTATTATGAAAGCTACAAGTAAATTCTCAATGTGCATGTGTGCTTGGCTTTCTATAAACTCAAACAACAACTGTACGCAGACTGGTGGAACTGAAACAGCAGTGACAAAAGAACACACCTCTGTACCTATTCAGAACTGCCTTTTCAAAGCTAAGTGCTCCCACTGGGGTTTGCTGCACAGGAAAAGTCCTCGTACAGGTAACAAAGCTGAAAAAATGAGAGCCTTGTGTTTGGTGCATCATTTACCACAGATCGTGTTACACGTTCCAGAATGCTATAAAGCTTCCCGCTGCAGTTAAAGAATATCACATATCTGCATGACATACAATTCTAGCTCAGCCCCAGCTTACATTCTAATGTGTGTTTGTATTTGCACCTCTTGGAGCAGGCAGCACAGTAAAAATCCCCACAGCACCACCAACGAATTAGAGTAATAATTAAACAGCAACTTGTTCAAAAAATGAGAAAGGAAGATCTGCTACTCTTACAAGTTACACAGGTACACATATTTACCATGATGTATTTATTTGTTTGAGTAAGTGACTTTTTAAAAGCCCTCAGATTTACTTCCCAGCAGTGGCAACTTGACAAAAAGCAGAACACTCATTTCCCTAAGCAAAACCTTGTGCAACTGTATTTATCAGCCAGGTGTACACGTGCTTTAGGCCCAAAACAAATTGCAAAATCCAGTAAATTAACACTACAAGCAGAACCATGTATGTTGACATACACAGCTTTTAGCCAGCTTTTGACTTTTCAATAGCATCTCTCCTTTAGCTTATAGCACAGTCAGAGCTCACTAACGTTCCCCCATCAATCTGTACCCAGAACTCTGCATTCTGGACAAAATCAGAAGTTGACTCAAGCAACTTCTTTTTTAAAAAAAAAAACCTAACTAAAGAAGAGAAAAAACCAAAACCACTAAAAAACCCATCCCACCTAACACCAACATCAAAGCAAGAAGCTTTATGGGAAAACATTTCCTAGAGCACTTGAGTTTGTTCCACCACAGGAGACCATTCAGTCCCATTCCTCCTCCTTCTACACATCTTGAGCGCAAAACACTGAGAGCACCTTTACCATAAAGCAAATCCTGCTCTTTACCTCTGCTCCTACAGATTTCTCCAACAAACATGTACATTTTCAGAGATTCCAGCAGAGGTTCTCACCCTTTCTCTTAGACTCATCAACTGTGTGTGCCAAATATTTTTCTGACAAAACTCCTTCAACAGATCCCTTCAAAATACAAATACATTTTAGCACATGTGGATTGAAATATAGGAGTCACAATACTGTACCTCTATCTTGATTCTCTTTGGTGACAGTTCATCCCTTTCTCCACATTTAGATCTAGAAAAGAAGACGTTCGTTATTAGTAAACAGAAGATTAACCCTGATCACCAGAGATAATAAACAGTCAAGGGAAAAAAAAAAAGTAAGGCAAGGAGAAGTCAGATGCACAGAAAAGCATCCAATTCACTTGGACTCGGCATTAAAAGCCACTTGAGCACAGAGGAGAAGTATACAAGTGCCTTGTGTTGTTTTCAGAAGTGTCAAAAGACTCATGTGCTCTTATTCTGAACAGAAAGGAAATCTGCCTGAGCACAGAGAATCACAGAAACGCCTTTTACTTCGACTACCAAGAATGGATTTGTATTTACATATAATCAGCATGGAAGGAAGGAGAAAAAAAAAACAAAAAAAAACAAACACAAAAAGCCCCCAGAAGCGTTATGAAAATGTATGTGGAAAGGATATTGCAATAAAGGTCAGAGTTGAAATGTAAAAGCAATGCATAGAAAGTATCTGGAAGTAATAAATACAAAAGAAAGTTCATTTTTAATTGTAATCAGAAGCTATTAAGCCTTTGCTATTATTCCATAGCAGTTCACCTAACAGAACATTAACAACTGAAATTAGGACTCTGCTTCAGTTTTTTTCAACCAAGTTCACAAGACACTCCCTACGATCTTATCTTTCTCATTCCCTGGAAACCAGCAAACTCAGTCTGCAAACAACCACCACCACCACCACCAAACCCCAAAAAATGCACCACATTAGGAAGCTTTTGGCAACTCTGCCTATTTACATTAACCCTGAAATACTCAAATATGCCTCCAATACATGAAACGCTACCCTCTCAGATGCCTTTGCACCTGCACTATCACTGCCAAACCTGTACACCAGAGAACAAATAATAAGGTGATTCAAGACAGCTAAATCTGAGCAGTTCGAAAGCTTCAAGACTTAGATAGCACTTTCCTACCTTACTTGGAAGAGCACTTTGCTAGCTAGAGAGCAAGAAGAGCCTCCCGTGCTTCAGAAGAAATGCTGTGAAACTGATTAAGCGAAGGTCTTTAGAGTTAATTAAAGCCTTACTTGGTGGTCCTGTAAGTATACTTGTACGTAACTTCTCGAGAGATTTGCCGAGCTAGTGCGAAGAGTTCATCTCTCCTGGTCAGCAGCGCGTTATCTTTCACACACAGCTGAGCAGCTGCTTCGTTAACTGTTAGCTGGAAATTAAAGACAAAAACAGATCTGTGATTCCAAATATTTTCACCCACTATCTTTGTACCCTCTTCTGAAATACTGAAAGATTTCAACGGCAAGCAAGATTACTTATAGCGGTAAACTAAACCTGCAGGGTTTCTTCCATTTATTTATATCCTTAACACACACAAGCTTCTGAGAAAAGATACAAAGCGCACTGAACGTTCTTTAAAGTAAAGCATTATTGAAATACCCTCGATGTGCTCTGTCTGTGCCTCAACCCAGCATTAATTAAATCTCTGTATAAGACAGGAGCACTGAGCATTCACTCTGGTTGGCTCCCAAAGCCTGGTTTACAGGGAGTACTATTTTTATAACCGCAATATGCCCCGGACTTGAAAAAAATCTGACAGTGTGAGTACAGATGGCTTTCCCTGGTGAATACAGCATACATTCCGTAGAAGGTGATGGTTTAAGAAAGGATTAAACTTTTTTTTTAGCGATGCTTCTCACCCCGGTGTTTGTGAAGACTATCTTCAGACATGAATCAAATCTAACTAGTTTCAAGGATGTTTTCCCAAGCCTGCTGGGACACATTTCTAGTGGCTCTGCTGCTGGCAATAGTTTGATAAAGAAAAAAAAAAAAAAAAAGCCTTAAGGCTCAAAATGGTTTCATAACGTACTTCAGACGCCTATAGAAAGTGGTGGTACTGCCAGCAACTGTAACAGCTTAACATCGCCGTCTGAAAAGCACACCTTCAACACTATGGACAAACAGCATAATTATTGATGTCATGAGAAAAACCAACACTGGGATGCAGGAAAAAAGATTGCTCCTACTCCTTCCACAGCAAACGGGCTGATGAGACATTATCACTTCTTCCTCAATTAAAGAACACAGCCAGCAATCGTCACGAAGCATAACAGCAAGAGGACAGCATAACAATACTGCAGGTCCTTTTTGCAGAGGGCACACACATCTTTCATTTTCAAAAGGTAGCTGCTCTGCACAGGCTTGGCTTCTCACAGGTGAGCACAGCCTTAGACTGGCTGCTGCCATCAGCAATACATTCTGTGTTAGTCTCAGAGTAACATTATAGAGTAACAGAGAACATTAGAAGTCAGCTAGGTTATTTGAAGCACACTGAGATGGTCTTCACAGGACAAACTTGGCATCCCTGGTCCCTGCCTGGCTGAGGTGGCAGCGCAGAGCAGCAGCAGCTCCACGTGCAGGCTGAAATGCTTGAGGGTGGGCACAAACACACAAGGGGCCCCTAATGCCAGGGATCCCAAAGCCAGGACGTGCTCTTTTACCTCACTATCTATCACACTGCTCCTGAATTAAATGGGAGCTCAGCAGCTCACCTGAACTGCTGCACCTTCATCCCTAAGGACGGAAGCTGTCACACGACACGAGAAGCACACCATCCTTAGGCAGAGCTCCCGATGTCAGCCAAAAGAGAAATTCTGTCTCATGCCACACTAGTTCTTCAGGGAGGATGGAAAAAACATGCATCAGCAGAGCTGAGACTCTCAGCAGCCAGCACCCAGTGAAACCTCACAAGGAACACAACTGCTCTTCTTGATATTTCGTAAGCATTTTTTCCTCTTCTTCAGCACAAAAGCCTCTGATCTGATTAAGATGTTTCCTGTGATACCTGAATGCTAAGCAGAGCACAAACACATCTTTAACAGGCCAGCTGGATACGTGACCTGAGCTTTCAGTCTCCGTGCAGACAAAAAATGCCCCACAGAGATAGATGCACAAGGGCAGGAAGCTGAAGTTCACTCTGTGCAACATCTCTAGGTTACTATGCTCCTACAGAACAACATGCTAAAACAACCAATTATTACCCATTTCAGAGGAACCGTTGCTATAATGGCTACCTTTTTCAGAAAGAACCCAGGAAAAATAATACAAAAATAAAAAGGTTAATACAGCACCTATGGCAAGAATTACCATCCAAAGCAGGTGCTAATTTCTGTCAGAGTGATAGCTATTACTTTGCACAGGATGAATAATATGACTAATGTTTACAACGTAATTCCAAGTATTTTTTATCCCTCAATAAAGGTTGCAAAGAGCTAAATCGGCTGAACATTTTGGGTACTTGAAGACAAATGCTGTTTATCCTAATACATAAGACAAATGTTTGTTTGTTGATTTTTCCTGGTTTCTCCTCTGAGGTCAGATCCAGACTACTGAATTGCATCATGGCTTCCTGCCCTTTCAGGAGGCTCAATCCTGCTGTGAGAAAGTACTGTATGCCTGAATAGCACGATTCTGTATGCTGGAAGCCTTGATGACAGAGCAGTACGTGACCATACAAGCTCTACAGAGAAGGATGGGTACATTCCCATCCGATGGGGTTTATAGTCTTCCCCCCTTCGCCTCCCCCTCCCCTTCCCTCTACCCACTTAGAATCACATAATTAAATACTAAGCCGTACTGCTCTGGTGAGTCAACAAAAGAAAAAGGAAGACACTGAGTTAGACAGAATTTATTGCTTGTATTTCTTACTCCTGTTTCTCACACTATTAAACAGGATTTTTTCAGTTTTATAGGTACCCAGACAAGTACTGAAATACCAACACGCAAATTACAGATCTGACTCAAACATGCCAGAGTCACCGAGTGCAAGGCCGTGCCTCACACGCATCCTTCCTTCACTCCAACTTTAGACACGACTCGCTCTTCTGCCTGAAAAGCTGTGCAACACCGAGACAATGGGACGGATTAAGGAGAGCATGTTTATTAATTTTGGAGCCTCTTTGTTTCAAAGACTTTGCGTTAGATTAGATAAGTGCCTCACACAGACAATGCTACCAACAGCACATACTTCCAGAATAGCTCAGCAGTTCCAGTTTTCACTGGTCTCTAATGCCTGCTCAAGCCCCTTGGGATACCACAGTGTTCACACGGTAACAGAATGCTCTCAGTAACTTACCACCAAGTTTAAGGCAAGTCTGCATGCAACTCCACACTGCTTGAGGAGTCAGAAGTGCCCTGATCTTTACCTTAAGAAGCAATCCACTACTCAAGCTTTTTAAATTCACAGAGAAGTTTATTCAGCTGCTCACTGCCAGCTGCAAGGAGAAACTTTGAACCGCAAGGCAGAAGGACAGTCTTGGAATGTATTAACATGTGCAGAGACATCATATCCGGACAAGCAGAAACTTACCTCCCTGCTCGTTTAAGGTCCTTCCTTCTGAGCAGCTACATGCTTAAGCCATTGAAAATAAAAATCCACTGAAATTGAATTCACAAAAAGGCAAACTCTGGTTTACCAAACTGCAAACAACAAAGAGTCTGAGCAGTCATGTAGTATCTGTGCCTTTTGTGCTTTAACGCAGAAATGAGAGAAAACTGTTCGAGACAAAACTTTGTGATATCCAGCCTCTTTAAGCAAACAGTAAACCAGTTATGAGCAAATTCCTCTTGTTTGCATGTGTGCAGCTCCCATCAAGTTCAGTGAGGCCTCACATGCGTAAGTGAGGCATAAGTCAACCACATACTCCTTTGATCCCATGCCCTTAGTCATAATAGCGATAGAAATATTTCCTAAAGCCAAACCATGCTCTCATTCCAGCTTTAAACATGGTTTTACAATGATCTGTACAGCTGCACTAAGACACAGTCACAGGGCAGAGCAGTCCTCCTTTCTTCCAGTTCTTTGGCACCCTGCTCCTCCAAACAAGCACCCACTGTTCACACTGCCAACCTCAGAGAGCCACTCCTGAGCCCAGCACACCTAACACACACACACTGACCTCCCACCCTCCTGTGCCCACCTTGCTGTCTGAGGAGATGTCTGCCCAGATTTCTTTCAGACTAATTTCTTCAACTCTTATTCCAGAAAGAGATGGAAGAAGTGCATGGCTGCATGTGCTGTGCTGCAGGCCTTGACTGTACCCATTCTCACGTGAGGAGAAGCCCTCTCTCCCAGTCCTGACTGCAGCAACACACATGGGGCACCTCACAGTTAAGCTTCTCATATCCTGCCTTCACCTCATAAGCCACATGTTCTGTTACGGGAGACTTCTGCAAGGAAAGGGAGAAAGGCTCCATTTACATTTGTCCTTGCATATTGGAACTCTATAAATCATATGCACAGACACTGTCACAAAGCAAACAAGTGAAAGGTGTGCAACTGAAACGTGTAGTGCAAACATGACTGACTAATGACAAGTTTCCATGAAGTGTCTCCATGCTCTGCTGTTCAAGTCCTTGTAAAGTCACTGCTAGTAACGTGCACTGCCTTCTAAGTGAAAATACATAAGCAGGAACGTAAAGAAAAAGTTTGTTTTCTGTCCACATCCTCAAAAACACAAAGATAATCTTGTTTTACGGGTAGAACTATGGGTAACACACCTACCAAACTTCCTTTTGAAGTGAAAAAAGGCTAAAGTCAGTACAACTTTTTTGGCACTCCTGAAGCGTAAACACTGCCTTCCCTTTTGGGAGCTCAGTCTTACATGCCAAATTTTAAATCCAACCGAAATTTTGCAATCTCTGTTAACTGTAAAAATGCTGATGCAGCATTCATATCAACAGTTGTTCTGGCACTGCTTTGACTTAATGTTTGTTCTCCTCTTGTACTGTACTTTGGCATTAGGGAACTATTCCCAACACAGACACGCCTATCATGTTACAACATATGCAGCACGAGCCTCAAGAAAGCCAGAATCGAAGCAAAGGAGGCCTGCATGGACTGTTAAGGACAGGAAGGAACAGATACTAAGCAGGTATTGATGGAAAAATCTTCAGAGCACAGTCACCCATCATTACTGGAGACAGTAATGTTTCTCCTCACAACTCTCACTGTCTGCACTTTGCTTGGCTGGCCCAAGATCACTGTGCTCCCTGAAGAACATGCCATAGTTTGTATCATTAAGCTTCATCCTTGCCCAACACCACAAAAACACCCCACCAGGTTTAGGAACCTCATCTGCAGAACCCTTTTTACTTCATATGAGCTACAGAGAAGGGTCTAGAGCAGAGTCTAGCAACCAAGCCAGGTCATTCTGTTACCAGACACAAGTTGTCTTAGTTATTAGTCTTCTGAACAACCAGCTTATGCTCAAAGGCCCAAGGGAATATGAAGACAAGACTGGTTTAAAAAGTGCTGAGTGCCTAGAGTCCCAAGGAACATGCTCAGTGCAACACCAGCATGCTATTTCAGTGCTTAAAACCTCTGTCTGGAGGACTGTAGCAGTGACTGAGCATTCTGATGACATAAAGCTGAAATCAGCGGTGCACACACACAACTCACACACACACACACACACCCAGGAAAGGGTGTTTCTTTTTCACCCAAGACTTCTATTCCTGGGCAGAGCTGGAGACGTCTCTTGCAAGACATGCAACTCTCATTATCCAGTCAAGAGTGCCTGTAGAAAGTGTACTCTATAAACAGCACCTCACAAAGAGTGCAGAAATAGGGGAGGAAGCCCACTGTTGCTCAAGGGACTTTACCTCGTGGAGAGTAAGATGCTTGCCATCCTTTCTTTTTGAATCAAATCTGCCATATATTGCACTGTACTTCCTGATTTCCTCCTCTTTGTGAGGGTCCTCATCGCTCATCTCAAAGATGTGACCAATCATCTTTGCCAGTTTCTTATTTGTTTTCAGTAACTCCTTGACTTCATTCAAGTCACTTTTGGGCAAGGAGGGAACCATACGTTCCACGCATTCAGCAACTGACAGAGCAGCAGCAGCGTCCAGCGTCTCGCTGTTCTCCTTTGGTGAAGCAGGAGAGCCGAGGTCAGCCGGGGAAAGGCTATGCTCGCTCTCTGTCGTGTGGTGTCCTTGCCAGAGCCTCGGCTCGCTGCTGCTCTGTAGTGATAAGCTCCCCACCACATCAGATTTGCTCGCACCCACGCTCTGCACGCAAGTTGTGGCAGCGCATTTTGGAATCTTCAAGTGAGGCTCTCTGGTAGCGCTGTTCCGTTCGTAACTACTGCAGGATATCCCCAGCCACGCAGGAGACCCCTCTGGCAGTTTATAGATCGGAATGCTGCTGACTGGTAAGGAAGTGAGAGGCTGGTTAAAAAGACCAGGGTTTGTCACCCAGTCCCTCAGGGCCTTCTGCAACCGTCGCACGTGAAGCGGCTTGCTCGCCATGCCTACCAGAGCCATTATCTCCAAAAACTCCTCTTCGCCTGCTTCACAGAGCTGCTGGACGTCATCACCACCCTGCTGAATGAAGGCATCGAAGTAGAACAAGAGATTTGCTTTTTGCAGTATTCGATACAGCTGCAGTTCCCCAAGGGTTCTGGGTAGCGCTGACGCCATCACGGATGACAGAACCTGCAGCAAAAGCAGAGAGAAGATGAACATCAGAACGCCGACACTCAGATGCATTTCCCCCCGCATCCTTCCTTACGACTGTCAACTGAAAGGATGGGACTTTTTTTTTTCCCTCTCTCATTACAAGAACACATATGGAAATGATAAAATTGGTGATAGTTCTCTTTTTTGTTGACCAGTTAACATCTTATCAAACAAGAGACTCGGCTGAAACATTTGTGAAAAAACAAATCAGTAGATAGTTGCAATGCACCTACAAAGAAGATGATTCAAACACAAAACCAGCTTGTTTTCAGCATTCCCACTTCATGTTTGTTCCCAAGAATGTCATTCAATATTGCTCACTGCTTCTACTCCGCTTTTTTTTTTTAATATCTTCAGATCAAAACGATCACAAAAGAATTACTGAGTACTTGATCCTCTGAAGAAAATAAAAACATCAGTTTTGATTCTCCTTAATTCTCAAATCTTCTTCCTCCATGACAATTTGGAGGACTGTAAGAGGAAAGCAGAAAAAGAAAGCAATGCTTCACAGAACCCCAGAGAATGAATGAAGCTGGATCTGTGAGAGATTGCTTCAGAAGCAAGCGTTTCTGCCGCTTCATATACACAGGATCTAATGCCTCTGCTCATCCTAATCACAGTAGCAACATCCACAGACGAAACAAGAACTCTGATGAATTTCAAGTCATGTTTTTAAACTGCATATGTTGGAATCCACCTGCCCGTTCCATCTGCTAACAGCAGTGGGTCATCAATAGCTACGAGATGAAATAGCGCTCGGCTATACAGCAATTGCACTCCAAAGGCTCCCACGAGACAAATAGCAGCAGTCGCCTGTCCTTGTTGCTGCAGGAAAGCCATTTGTACAGGTTTCAACTTGGGATAACGTAAAACCCACGTTATCCACAATAATCCCACAAATAAGAAACCCTTCAGAGAACTCTAAGATCTCACACTTTCACGGCAGCTTTCACAACTACAAGCAGATGATTTCCAGTATTAGTGTATCAAGCTAAACCACCAATCAATAAGACCCAAAGCATGCAATTTGCAGTTGGTTCTGAAGGTAACAGAACTACAACACGGAACTGGTCTGCAAGCATTACTCTGCCATCACATTGTGCTTCGATAGAAAACACAGTAACACCCCCAAAATCTGCACTCAGAGAACACAATGGGGGGAAACCAGTTTAATGACACACACAAAAAAATATACCCTCAGCACAGGACTGGCAGAGGAATGAATATATCTTTACATATCTACTAGCAAGAATCAAAATTAGTAGGCCCACAAACTTCACAAAGATGTGTATGGCAGTGATAGGATACATATGAACTATCTCCCCAGGAAGAAAATAAAGGCCTGAAAAATAAAAGAGCTGCACATCTCGTCCTTTGAAGTTCTGCAAAGCAGAACTGACAGCAATAGCTGCTGCATGTGAGCAGTCACCCCAAGGGCCTGCTGCTGGGACCTACACCTACCAGGCTGTGTGCTGTGAAACTCAAGGCGCCACTGGAATGCCAAAGAGCTGCGTATTCTTAGACATAGAGCTGAACTGTAGAAAATCATTAATTGCAGGACAACAGTTAAGTAGTGTCTGCAATCCTAGATGGGAGCAGCAATAAGGAAACGAGGCACACTGCTTAAGGAAATTCTTTAAGCAGCACATAATTCTGTACTTTAAAAACTGTCATTACTTCTCAGAAGTTCTCATAAAAACCCTCCAATTCCATGCAGACTTTGACAAGACAACACTAACGGCCTACAGATCAGCAGCACTTCAGCAAACCGCTCCTACCCTCCTGCTTCAAATGTTGTTGTCTTTTTCTTATCAATACCACAAATCAATTTGTTTATATAACTGCTACAAGAATACCCATTTTCTCTGAGAGACATTCATCTCTGCACCGAATCTACATACATCTACATAAATGGGCTTTGTGTGGAGAACCAAATTGAATTCTGAGAGGAAGGTGGCAGTGAAATTACACGCAGCCCAAGCACTCCAGGCAAGGCATGGAGCTAATTTTTCCAACCCACGGGCTGGAAGAAGCAACCGTAGCCCATGAGCAGCCTTTACCTAGAGGCTCTAATCAACAAATCTCCTCACGACAGATAAAACTGGATTAATATGTACTATGGAGGCGTCAGCAGTGAGTCCACAGTTCAGACTGCGCCGAGGTTTGCATTTAAAGCAAGACTGAAATCCCCTTGTTTCATACTTTGAAGACCAATTCTGCTTTCCAAATTTAGTACAGTAACTCCTCAGAGGGCCACGCAAATTTTCCATGTAAGATTGCTCCTAATTTCCGCAGAGCAAACATTTTCAAACACTCCCCCTTTCGACCTCCCTTCTCCTCTCATCAAGCTGAGCTCCTCCAGTTGGACCACGCTCACGCCGACAACATCCTGAGCACTTGAGAGCTTTCCCAACAGGATGGCCCTGCTCCCTGCCAGCTGTGCTGCCTGCCCAGCCCTTCCCAGCCCACTCCCCAGCTCGGCTCTGTGCAGCCAGGGAGGCAGCGAGCTGGTCAACCTGGAAACGTGAGACGGGACAAACGGGAGAAGAAGTGACAACAAGGGTTTGCTGAGACAGCAGCATGGCATTCCAAGAATCAGGAGCCCCTAACCCAAAGGACACAGTGCTGCTATCACTGCTTGTCTACTGGGCACCAGCCGCGGGGCGCCCACTCATAGGGGTACCAGCGCTACCCATCTCTCATGAGATGTTTAAACAGCTTCTCTGAGGCAAAAAGGAGTGCTTCTCATCCTTGCTGCCATTTCTGAGAGCAGCAGGGACAGCACTTTTGGGACAAAGGGTAGGCACGAGGAAGGGTTATGCAATGGGCATACAGTGAGAAGCAGACATCACAAATTGCGTATGCTCCTCAGCAGGGAGAGCACCTCAGGAGGCCCCGGGGCACCAGGGGCATTCCTATTCCTCCTCTTCCATGCCCACCCCACACGAGCTGCTTTGGGAGCAGCAACCCAAGAGGCTCCTCTGATGCCAACCCCGAATGCCGTGCTGCTGTACAGCGAGCACACGAACCTGCTGAGCACATCCAGTTGCCAGCCCTCACAGTAAAGGGCCGCCACGCGAGGCGAGGGGCTGCAAGGATACGCGCTCATCCTTTACATTTTCCACGCACAGAACAACGAAGCCAGGAAATTCCCCGTGGCGGAAAAAGCAGTTTGGAGCACGGGTCGGGCTGCGCCCCGTGCCAGCCGTACAGGAACCAGGAAATCACGGCTCAGACCCGCGCTGCCCTCGCCCAGGCTGTGCTCCACGCCTCCTCCCTCGCCCCCACCGCCCCCACCCTATCGCTGACCGCAGCGCGGCCGTGGGAGCGGAGGGCAGCGCAGCAAACGGCGCACAGCGCGCCGCCGGCCGCATCCACAGCCCGACCCAACCGCCTCTTCGCGGGCACCGCCGCACGCCGACGGGACCCGAGCGTCACCGATTCAACAGGGAGAGGGGGGAGACCCGCATTCCCGTATTCGGGGCGAAAGTCACCGTTTCATAATGCGTCTCCATCACTTGGGGCGTTCCGAAGTCTCTGAGGACGCGCCGGGTTCGGAGCTGAGCGCCGCGCTTTGCACATTCATCGTCTTTTGCAGCGTTTCCACAGGACTTTTAGCAGGAGAGGAAAATTACACGGAGCTGCGGCAGCAGCAGCGAGACTTTGCAAATTAAACAAGTCTCGTCTGGCTCCGAGATGTGCCAAAATACAGCCTCGCTGGCGGGCTCCCCGCTCGGGCACTGAGCTGCAACTCCGAACAAACCCGAAACACGCGGCGATCGCGTGAGGACACCGCACCGCACCGCGCACAGCGGCCCGGCCCCGCACCGCCTCGCTCACCGCCGCCGCTCCCGCACGCCGCCCGCACGGCGGCCCCGATGCCCCCAGCGGCAGCTCGGCGCCGCCCCCCCGTCCCGCTCCGCTCTCCCCCGGCTCAGCACTCCGCCCGGCCCGCCCCCGCCGGAGCGGGCGCCGCGGGGCCGCTTTCAGCCCGCGGTGCCGCCGCCCGGCCCGGCCCCGCACGTACCCCGCGGTAGGCCTCCGCCGCGGGCCGCCCGCGGCTCCCCTCGCCGCCGTCCCGGCGCCGCAGCCGCAGCCTCAGCCCCGCCGAAGTTCCTGCCAGCGCCCCCCCGGCCCGGGCTCCTCCTTTCCCATGGACGGGGCGGCTGGGCGAGCCCGTCCTCGCTGCTGCTGCCGCTGCCGCCGCCGGAGGGGGGCCGCGCGGCCGCCCCGCCGCCCAGCTCCGCGCTCGCTCGGAGACCGAGGGGAGGAAGGAGGCAGGGAGGGAAGGAAGGAGGGAGCGGCCTGCGCCGCCCGCGCCGTCACGTGGGGAGGTCCCGCGCGCGCTCCGCCGCCCCCTCGCCCACGCGCGGCCGCCGCGTGACGCAGAGCCCGGCGGGGGCCGCCGCCGCGCGGGGGCGGGAGCGGCAGAGAGAGCGGGGCGCGGGGCGGGGAGAGCGGCGCCGCCCGCCGGACCCCGCGCTTCGTCGGGCGTAAAAGTTTCCCGAAGAGGGAGCCCGCGGGGAGCGGAGACGCCCCGCCCCGCCCCGGGCGCTCCGCGGTTCCCATGAGAAAGCCGAGCCGCGCGCTGCCCTGCGAGACCGCAAAAATGCGCGCGGCGCTGCCTCCTCCCTCCCGCTCCGACGGGTTTTGTGCGCGCCTCGAGGCGCTGCGGCCGCGGGGATTAAAGCCGTCAAATATTACGGCTATCGCTCTTCTGTAGGGCGTCCGTCCTCGACGCGCCGTTTGCGCAGCCGCCCACCGCGCTCCCGAGAGCCGCCGGCGACGGCCGGTCCGCCGCCCCGCCCCGCCTCGCGTGGGCACGGTGTGGCTCCGGGGGTGCGGCCCACGCTGCGAGGCCGGCAGCCGCTCCGCCGCCTGCCTCGGCCGATGTGATGGAGCCGGGCACAGAGCCAGGGGCTGCCGAGGAGGCGAACGGAGGCTTTCCCAGCGAGGAGCGGGGAAGCGTGCTGTAGTTTTTCAGCGCCGTCCCAGACGGGACGCGGCGCTGCTCTCGTACCGCTCTGCAGACCCACCGATGCGCTGCCTGCCCTGCACAGGTGGGAAGGATGGGCTGGACACAGCCGTGGTAACTTTACAGCTACTTCCTTGCTGTACGCTTCGGATTTGAAGTGATTGCGGTGCGAGGCTTTGTAACGTTAAGAAAGCACGCAGATCAGATGGATCCAGTAATGGGGGCGGCAGAACCTCAGCTCTGGAGACGACCCCTACGGGCTCACTCAAGGCAGGCGTGTTCTGCAGCTCCTGCAGGGCTCCCACAGCCAGGGCTGCCCCAGCTTTCTGCCACACAAGGCTCTCCGTGACGGATCGGATGCTCTGCCACACAACATTTGCAAAACTCAGCGGTATGTGTGGGGGGAAGTAAAGCACGGGGTTAGAGAGGGGGGAAGTGATAGATCTGCTGTCGCCTTTGTGGAGCTGAGAGCAGGGAGCATCTCGGCAGGATGGATCCTTCCTTCTCTGGCTCTGTGTTGTGCTCTCTGATGGCATGAAAAAAGGTGAAAATCACACACGGCAGAGGGACACTTTCATAGTATACAGAAGAAGCACGCAGCCGATGGGTTCTCTATTTCCTCTGACTCCCAGATTGAGGAGGAATCTGAGCAAGATACGAGTTCTACAGAATGAAGAAAATCGGCAGCAAGCGATTACATAGAAGGAGACAAGATGGCAAGGCAGATCCAGAGGCAATTACAAGGCTGCCAACACAGCAGCTGGTACAGCTCCCCAAAGAGCTCCACGCAGCACAGTTCCTTGGTTGGTCCCTCCAGCTCCGATTGCAGAGCACAGCACAGGGCTGGCACTGCCACCACAGCTCATCGCAGGCTGTTTCCTTCTAGCAGGTCACAGCTGCAGGCTGGGTCGTAACACACACACAGCATTAGGGAAAGTGCATGTTGAAACACATTTCTCAAGGATGCCATGAATGCCTGGGAGGAAAACCCTCAAATTGTTTACTCTTAACAAAGAAGGCAAAAATGCATTGCATAAGCACTTCTTTTTTGATATATTGTTGGGCAAGGTGTTGTGGCTGGAGCGGAAGGCCAGGCCCAGAGGT